TAGTTTAATAAGCCATGATGTAGGACCTCAATGCTTTGCTCAAAAACCTTTAATTAAAAGAGAAAAAAAGTTTTTTTATGCCATCCTCATGAAATCATTATAGCATAAAAGGAGAGTGCAGATTCTGAAATATGAATGATAACACTGAATACTGACTCAAGTGCAGGGAAGCAAAGTAAGGGGTGGTGGCTTGGAGTGATCTGAAAAACCAATCATACCCTCGTGAGATCATATAAAAGTTCCTAGAAAAAAACATATGACTATTTACTATTCGGTTTAAGCCTGCTCAATGTAATGAATGAAACAAATGAACCCTGAAAAGATGCCTTCCTGATGCCATAAATGTGGTTCCCACTTAATGAAAATTAAATGAGCTCTCTCTGTAATGAAAAACAGAAACTTCATATAAGTAAAAACTGGAAAATATCCCTACATCTAGATGTTTTTCCTGCATGTCTAAATTTTTTTTTGATGAATGAACTTCAGCTCAACTGGAACACCACATTCCCAAGAGCAGGAGGCAGTTTGTATGTTAAGTAAGCAGAGCTTCACTAATTAATACTAACAGTTTGTAACATGTCCATGTGGCTACAGTCATTGCGTGTTTATGGCACCATCTCAATGGGGAAAGAGCCCAAGTTTGAACTTTTTTTAGTCGTGTTTTCGGGAGCTATTGTGAATATGTCTGGATCTGCCTTCAGTTTGTGTTGAATATTTGAGAAATATAACATTTAAGCATAAACATTAAAACAGTTGATTCAGGGAAAGTTTATGCTCAACAAAGTAACAGCTCTGACTTAAGTTGCAGTTTGCCATCAAAATATACCACAGAGAATGGATGACTTGTTTGAATTTTTAGCGCCTTGTACTATTTACTTTATGTTCCCTGTGTTAATAGAACCTTGCTGTAGCTCTGGTCGGTCCTCAATGATGAAAATGACATTTCAATCAGCTTACACAGTAGCTTACTAAAGCTACTGTGCCACTCTGGCACAGTTGCTGTAGTAAGCTGATTGATCTCAGAAAGCTTGTATCATAGCAGGGTTCTAGCAGACCTGAAGCAGGCTTGTTTTGGATGATTATCTACAATGACAGTAAGAATAGGGCTTGTAGGATCAATTTCGAAAAGCAGTTGTCCAGTGGCAGGATCAATAGATCCATGTGTGGAGAGAAGAGAAACTGTCAGCAAGTGGGGAAGATAAATTAAGCTGTGAGGGACAGGGTGAATGAATATATAATTTTCAGTAATCATCATTAGAAAAAGCGGGTTCAATGCTTGTCCCTCTCCTTGGATCTGTATGGCTTTTACCATTAACTTAGCGGGTCTAGCAGATGTGCCAGTGAATGAGGACATGGCAGGGGTCTGTGGCTTGACAGAGCAATCCTTGAGACATGCTTGAAAGCAGTTATTGAGGAGACAGGCAGAACTGTGGGGAATGGTAAATTAGCATACCCTGATGGGTAAAAAGTGAGTTAACTGACACAAGACAAAGGACTGCCTGAATCAGTCTGAAGCTAAGTCATTAAATACAATGCAACCAGATACCAATGGTTATAGAGTTATATATATTATACAAAATCCACAGTTTTCTACAATATGAAAAAGACTTAATAGCTTTGCAAATAAGTTGTTCAGTATACATGAATATGGTTTTAGGTCAAATAGGTCTACCTCAGACCGTAATGGAACTGCAAGAGGTAATATCAATACCAGAGTCCTCTTCTGGGGTTTTTATAGATGAAAGCAAGGCCTCTGACATAAAAAAAAAAATGGAAAGGTATGATTTCAGGGGTGCACCTTATAATTGGTTAAAAAGAGTTACCTTAATGATGGAGACCTGCTTGTATATATGAATAATGAACATTCTGATTTTGTTGAGTTAAAAATATCCCACGGAGTTCCGTAGGGTTTTTTCTCTAAAACCAAAATTGTCCATTTAGGGAATCAAATAATTATGCAAAGATGTAAGAAAAAAAACAAGAAAAAAATGACATTGTGTCGTCTGTGCTGATATACTAGTCTCTATTTGACAAGATCTCGAGCTGCATTTGGATGGAGTGGGGCCTAAAATTGAAATGTGAAAAAAAAAAAATTTCTGACCCACATGCAGAATCAAATCAGTTTAAATTTGGAAAAGGGTTTATTTACAAGAAAACACGGCAACAGACAATTCTTGATCCTTCAGGAGTGAGAAGAAGGTTCCATTAACAGTGGCGTTTGGAATGAGAGTGGAGTTAATGGTAACCAGAATCTTTTTATCTGGGATTAATAAAGAGACTTTACTTTTGAATGGCTTGGAGGGAAGATGGCCAGGGTCCCGTTTGGGGAGGTTGATATTTCTCTGATTGTGTAAGGTGGGTGGTAATACAGAGAACCAGGATTCGGATGGAGCCGGCAAGGAAATGATGAACGGCTTAACGGGCAGGCAGATAACTTGCAGGTAAATCTACAGGAGGTGAATCAGTGGAACTGATTCCTCTAGAAATCCACAAGAGAAAACCCTAGAGACAGCAAACACAAATGGTGTGTTCGAATTCTTTGGCTATGTCTTTTAAGGACACGGTCTACCTGGACTGGATCCTTCAAAGTCTTTGAAAATAAGGGGACTAGAAGAGTTTTGGCTGTGAATTCAAACAGGTCCAACCCTTTTTTTTGTTTTTGTTTTTTATTGTAAAATGAACAAAGACTACACTGATGAGAATACAAAGTCTAATCAAGGTGACAACCATCAGGAGCATTAACAAATAAAAGCCATTGTTATTATATAAAGCTTAGTCAGTTAAATAACATGCTGTCATTTTGCACATCTCTGATGTTGCTGCTGTTTTAACATATTTATTAAATGTAAAAATATCCATAGCTGTATATTGTTTGTTTTTATTTTCCAGGAGCAGTTTTTTTTTATATTGTTAAAACACTTTACAGTACAGTATTTTATTGTTTATCTTTTAATTTTTCGCTATTATGTTATTCTTATACATTTTTCTAAGTTCAACATTTGTGTGACAATTTTTTTTCTTTAATCTTTTTGCTGCTGTAAAAGCCGGAATTTCCCCAACGTGGTACAATAAAGGGATTTTCTATTCTATTATTTTCTTTTCTATTCTATTCTATTCTATTCTATTCTATTCTATTCTATTCTATTCTATTCTATTATAATTTATTCTATTATATTCTGCAGTTATTAATACTAACTTTAGCATCATTTTCTGTTTCAATTTTATTATTATTATTATTATTTTTTAATGCTGGGAATCTAATTTTAAACGATTCTGTTTAGGAGTCACTCACAAAAAGACAGTCCATCCATATTCCCCAAAGAGGCTGCTCTAGTTTAAGGAATGGTTACATATGCCTACTTCATACTGTAGGTCAAACCACGTCTGTGTCATTAAGTGAACCATATGTTAGTTTGTCAATGCGTGCTCTGATGTGTAACTCAGTGTTGACAGAAATCAGAGTGCCGATAGCAGAGATAGTCTAATTCTAACCCTGGTCACGTGTTAAATTACATATCGACCATCAGTCAGCAGCTTTTGAATGTGCAACCCTTTCTAGCAGTCTACATTTAGGTTTTTTGTTAGGAGGTCATCTCATTTATATGGAAACTACTTTCAGGAAAAAAAATCTTAGGCCTTAAGGTTTTTTTTCCCCTTTCTATCAGATGGTGTAGAACAATTTAGCTCTTATTGCTGTTGGTTCATACATACAAAACATTTGATGCTGAACTGTTTTGGAGAGTACCATCAAGGTTTTTTATACAAGGAGGAAGTATGCATTATGTATAAAAATGCAATGTACTAAAGTTTAGTTTGACATCATTTAGTAGTTAAGTAACATAATTGAACTGAAATTTTAATCTCTTGGTTAAATAGCTGAAAACCAATGACCGAAATTGAAAAACAAAATGCCATATTGTTGGCACTTCTAAACACAATGCAAGATAATATATTTTATAAATTTTAGACCATTTCTCAGATTGTTTTTGTCCCATTTCTAAGTCTTTTTGGTATGTTTTTCTTGTAAAGATACCATATTGCTCTTCCCTACACCTCCATTGCCAGAGTCATGTTTAACAGTGCTGTAAGCCAAGTTCCTTTCAGAGGAGAGGTTGCCATTAATAATAATCCAGGCAATAACAGTTACAATAACTGTCACAGCGTCTGTTGCAATTTATATAACTCTTCTTTATATTCAATTCTTCAAAAAGCTTTATTTTTTTTCAAGTTTTTCTATTTCTAACATGTTTTTAAATGTGTTCTGACTTCCATTGTCACATTAGTTGCTTATTATTGTACCCTACATATTTACCATTCAGACAAACATATGTTCAGTCTAATAGGATCTTTTGGACATATGAGGGATCATGCCAATTAGAACTGCTCTGGTTACTATTGAATCGATGTGTTGCTTATGTGTCATCTGATGTGACCTAAAAAACTGTCTACACTCCACAAACAGCAGTGACATTCACACATGTAAATCTCTCTGTCATGTAGGATAGCTGTGCACGTGTTCTACTATTCCGGGGAGCCAATAAAGAGATAAAAAACTACAACAGCCAGACAGCATTTCAGGTATGTATAGTGTCAAATGTAAATGTTACATTTTTATAGATAACATGGATTTTCTATTTTTTTTGCAGTTTGGTCTTAATATGTTTTTTGGATCAAAGATAAGATAGTGAGCAGATATTTTTTTTTGATATATCTGAAATATTAGATAACATACAAATATACAACCTACTGCTACAAAAGTAATTGGACATGTTAATTTTTTTTTCCTTTTCTTAAATACTTTCTACATTTCAACAGTTTTTGTTCTTCCATTAGGTTGCTATTATAGCTGGAAACTTTGATCTGGCAGAAATCATTAAGGTTCACAAAGCATCGGATGTTGGTAAGTTGACAGCAAAGGTAGACCTTACCAGTTCTGGATAGATAATAGAGAGGAATCTTAATTTCCATAAATGTATGAAACTGAAAAGAGTTTAGAGGTATGACATGTAAAGAAAAAAAATACAGTGTAATATTGGATCACTGAAGAGTTAAGGAGGTTCTCTTTGAAATAACATACAGGAAAACTCTGCCATCTGGTGTGGACAACTTGTAATGCCTCACTCCAGAGTGAATGAATGTAATTAGTTTATCATTTGTAAGCAACCTAAGCAACAACACTAATAAATCTGTAATCGCATATAAGGGTAATATATCGTCAAGACAGTTAAGTGTGAAACAACATTTTATTGTTTTGATTTTTTATACTAAATGTTTAAAATGTATATAAAGAGCACCCAAATTAATTTTACATTTAGTTTTTTTTATCACTTCTTTACAGTCTTTCAATAGTTTGAATTGATGATTTATTTTACTTCTTAGATTTACAGCTAGTATACCTATTAATGTGCTTTCAACTTTCTTAGACTTTTCCACATTGATTGGGATTTAAAAGGGTAGTCCAATATACAGTAGTTTATCATTTAAAATGAAATTGATGGCAAAAAATTTTTAGAAATAAAAAAAATCTAAAAAAAAAAATCATGCTTTTCTATTTAGGCTCCCTAAATCTGATATTAATTGAAGTGCAGTCAGTTTCCCTCCTAAATGAAATAATTTAGCATTCGCTTTAGTAGATAAAGCTCCCCTTTCTTTAATTTAATCTCAATATAGATCCCTCTGTTCTGTTAAGGAATTATAGGTTTGTTAATGAACATCTGAGAACAAAAAAAGCAGACAGGTCAGGGATAAAATACTACTGGGCTTAACAGGGAACTGTTATCAATCATGCAAAAGTTGAAAAGGTTTTGGCTAAATTCAAACCTCCCAAGACAAGCTTGGATTACCACCAATTTACAGCCAATGACAGGATGAATCAGAAACCAGCTTATGGTAACTCAGAGGAAACAGCTCAGGTAATAGAAATCCTCACATTACAGTTATTTTGTATATTCTTAACCAATCTTACCTTCATAGAAGAGTTTTATCAAGAAATCTGTACTAAATTCATATGAAGCACAATTTGCTCTTTGGGACAAGCCGTGGAGTCTAATTTTTTAGATGTTTTAGAATGAATCTACAGTAATAATCTTTAAAAAAATATATTTCTAATGTAAATGTAGATTTAAAGATATTTTAGCTATCAAAGCATCCATGTATTACTCTTGGCTACAGTAATAACCGTAATTAGTCAATGGTTTGCTTCTTTTCTCTTGTAGTGCCTTTTAGGGAGACCCCCTCCTACACCAACCGTCGCCGTGTTGTGATAGGCACCCTGCCCTCACCCCGTTCCTTGCTGCGCTCTGCGAGTGACAATAACCTGAATGGTGACCATGATCACATCCACCCTCAGCGCCCTCGAGAATCCCGTGGCCGCCCGGGTCACTCCCCTGTTCCTTCACTGCGCAGTCTCCCAGCTTTTGGGCAACAGCACAGCAGCCTCGGAGAAGTGAGAATATTTAAAAAAGAGAGTGTTAAAAGCAAGATTAATGTCAGTCTAAAAGGTCGTGGTTATTTTTCTATCATTAAAATAATCATGTTTTAATCTTTCCTCCCTGCTTTTTGTTAGAGTCGTCACGGAGAAATCCCTGACAGCAGTCTCCAGAGCACCGGCAGCTCTAGATCCTCCCATTCCCGCTCACCATCTTTACATCACATGCATGAGGAGGACAAGCCAGTCCCCAGACGTTCCCACAGCCATGGCTATCCTCATGGACATGGACGTGGAAGACTCAGGTCCGTAACAATCCCCTCTGCACACTTCTTTCTGTTTACACAGACAACTTTTGATAACTATTGTAAATGTTTTTCATCTCTTCCCTAAATGATCTCACCCATGCCAGTCTTTTCATGAATTCACACTGTTTATTTGTGACCTGCCTTATAATAATGTACCTACTTTGATTTTTAAAACAGTTTTAAAAAAGCCAAGTGTCCCATGTGATGTGTCTGAATCATTTGTTAGTCACTGGTAGCGTTGCATCTTATACCATCTGCTCCACTATTGGGAATAACCATGACTGGTAATAAGCAGTAAGCAATCTTCATTTAATCATAAGTCATTTGCATGTCGCATACATGAGGATGGAACCCATTAGATGTTGATGAACTAATAAAGCTTTATGATAACAGGCTGACAATCACAGACATGTGTATGCCATGTTTAAACAAGAATCCCTATTTGTTTAGCAAGCAGAGCTGATATTCAGTGTTTGTCCCACCAAAAGGACAGAAAAAATACAGCTGTTTAAAATAAATGTCAGTGTAAAGGTTTTAATGTGTATAAAGCCATTTCCACACAGCAGTATTTAATGGTGCTTGCACTGTGCTGTGCATTGTGAAGGAAGCTAATAATATCCCTTGGGATGAACTTAAATCAGCCAGTTTTGGATCTCTAGACATGATTTTATCTGAGCTAGTGATTTATGTAGCGTTGTCTTGTCAGTTAATGGTTGAACAAATCTCCTGTGTCTTGTGCTAAACTCATAGATGAATAGAACTAGGTCACATCTCAAGGAACAACATTACACATTTATTATTGGTTAAGAACTTTTTAAATATAGTGACAAATTCTGAAATATTACCTACATGCAAGTTGTCAGGGAGAGGTGGACTAGTGGTAGGCATTTATTGGATCCTACTCTGCTCTGCAAAAAACATCTAGAAATGAGTCAAAATGTCTTAAAGGAAAATTCCGGTTTTTAACACTTTTAGCCCATTTTCTGTAGTGTCCAGGATGAAATCGAATGATCGACACCAAAATTTTGACGATTGGTCCTGTCTCTGCTATTTGGCTCATGCAGAATCCCCCCCTGGCTGCTTCAGAATGGCTTCCATAGTGCATGTCCGATAATGTCCTTAAAACAACCTTAAACGTTCTTTTTTAAAATATGCTACTCACCGGGTCGTCAGCGCTGTTCAATGACGTTCCAAAAAAAGTTTCGTAAAGAAAAAACGTTCCTGTAGTGTTTTATTTAGCATTTTGTAAATCCCATTGAGTTCTGTTGGAATAGTCAATATCCCTCCGCCACCGGAAACGGAAATGGGGCCTGTTTACGCTTAGTTGTAGTCTTTTCGCAAGGCCCAAGTGTTTCTGCTTCACTCTGTGTACTCCGACGTCGAGGTGCTAACGTCTCTGTTAAACACTTTAAAAAACTCTGAAAATGGAATACGAAAGGTGGATTCTTGAGGAGGACATATTCATATACATTCCCAAAGTATAGAGACATTGTCGCCAACTAGTGGTCTGGAGTGTGCAACGCTTCAGATTCGAACGGGAAGCGGAAGTTTATAAGCGGTTGTGATGTATCGGAAAAAATAGTTCTGGGATTTACAAAATGCTAAATAAAACAAGACAGGAACGGTTTTTCTTCACAAAACTTTTTTTGGAACGTCATTGAACAGCGCTGACGACCCGGTGAGTAGCATATTTTAAAAAAAAGAACGTTTAAGGTTGTTTTAAGGACATTATCGGACATGCACTATGGAAGCCATTCTGAAGCAGCCAGGGGGGGATTCTGCATGAGCCAAATAGCAGAGACAGGACCAATCGTCAAAATTTTGGTGTCGATCATTCGATTTCATCCTGGACACTACAGAAAATGGGCTAAAAGTGTTAAAAACCGGAATTTTCCTTTAAATTAAATGTATTTACCCTTAATTTGAGTAGGTAAATAAGATTAATTGCCAATGGGATGAAGATATTTACTCTTAAAATAAGATAATTAGATAATATGCACTTAAAATAAGACAACAAATTTGTTTTTTCTTATTTTAAATGTGAATTGTCTTATTCCATTGGCAGAGTGTCTCACTTACCCCCTAAATTCAAGAAAAAATGCATTTATTTGAAGAAAAAATTACTTATGTAGATTTTGTTTTTTCCAGTGAGGTTCTGAGTTCAAGCCCCACTCAAATAGAATACCACTCTGGGTCCCTGAGTAAGACCCTTAACCCCCACACTGCTTCGCTGCACAATGGCAACCCACTGCTCCCCAAAGGGGATTGCTTAAATGCAGAGAGTTAATTTTGTTTCTTTGTACTTGTGACAGTGTAATGACAATGAAGTTGAATTCCATTCATTCTTGGGGATTGGTGGCCTAATGGTTAGGCACTTGCACTTGGATCCCAGAGGTTTTGAGTTCAAGCCCCACTCCCATTGACGGCCACTCTGGGTTCCTGAGCAAGTCCCTTAACCCCACACTGCTCCCCTGGGTGCCGCACAATGGTAGCCCACTGCTCCTAGGGGGATGGATTAAATGCAGAGGGTTAATCTTAGCAGCGTACTGACAATAAAATTGAATTCTTCTTCTATTCTTCTAATAAAAAAACTACTATTAATTTGAAACTTGCTTAACTCAGGTCGATGTTTTTAGGTCGGAGTGGTAAAAGGTTATCAAGATTTTGAAAAAGAGATTAAATTGGTTTTCAAGCGAACCCAACAGCCACAGTGACATTTACGTACCCTTCACTTCATCTGTTAAGAGATGCTGTTCTTAACTTTAGTTGAAAAGCAGGCGTTTTAAAAAGGTTGCCAAATATTGACACCCAGTGTAAATTGCCATCAAAAACATAGCTTTTATAAACAGCAATATCCTAGTTCACATAGAAAGTCACTGAAATAGAAATTTCAAATTGAGTACATTTAAAATTTAAATCATGCAATTTGAAATCCAATTCGAAAATCCTCTTCTAATAGCACATTTTAAATTGAGTTATTAAAAGGAACAGAAAGTTGTATTCATTAATCCATTATTATTTATTGTAATTAAATATTGAAACATATTACCTAATCCTATTTCTAAATGGAGATTCATGAATCTGTTTATCAATATCTTTCCTAATCATTCATTTACCAATCTCTGATGTTGCTGCTGTTTTTAAATATCCATTACTGTAAAAATGCCCATAGCTGTATGTTGGTTATTTATTCTGAAGATGCAACATTTTATATTCTTAAAACACTTTACAGTACAGTATTTCATTGTTCACATTTTAGCTATTCATATTATTATATTCTTATACATTTTTCTCAGGTATTTACTTTACTCTTTACTGCTGTAAACACCAGAATTTCTCCACTGTGGGACAATGCAGGGATTTTCTATTCTATTCTATTTAAAAAGGTTATTCCTCATACTATTTTAATTTTTCTTTTTCAGTTCGCAGTTTTAAATCCTTCTTGAAATTATATTAAAATTTTTCTTTCACCCACTCCATTTACCCGTGACCCTTCTTTTCCCTCAGCACACTGTAGTTAAGCAAGCAGTCAAACTGTTATTGGTTAGACTGACAAACTTGGTTAATAAAATGACCAACAAGGAAGCTGGTTACATCTGAGGAGCAACTACGATTGTTTAACCCTAACTGGTTAATCCTGATTAATCAGTACAAACCAACCAAAGTGGTACATGGATCAAATAGCCACCTAGAATTATGGTTCATAGACTCAGAAAATGCTTTGTGTATATAGAGTGCGTAAAACAATGTGTTTTTCTCAGTAAATATATTTTTAGAGGCTCCATTGACATGACATTTTCACAAGATGCCGGTCGGTAACAATCATAAAATCCACACATACAAAGAAATCAAATCATAGATTTCCAGAAATTAGGTTATGTGTAATAATGTGGAATGGCAAATGAAAAAAAATATTGAACTCGTGAAGAAAGGAAGGCAAAATCTCTCAGTAAATAGAAAGCAGTCCTGCCTCTTGTCAGTGCGAATCAACTGATTCAGTACCAAATGATGGCCTATAAAAAGGTATCTCTGGTATCACACAAGACTGATGTTTCTCGACTGACTTGACTGACTCAACCACCATGGCCTGTATGTATGCTCCACAAGCAAGACCCTAAAGCTGAGAAAAAAAGCATGTTGCAGCTCATTTAAAGTTTGCTGCACAATATTTAGACAAGCCTGTAAAATACTGGGAGAGTATAGAATGGTCAGATGAGAAAACAATTTTACTCTTTAGATGCCATAATACACATTATGTTTGGAGGTCAAATGGCACTGCACATCACCCCAAAAGCACCATACCAACAATAAAGTCTGGTGGTAGGAACATCATGGCGTGGGGATGTTTTTTAGCATATGTCACTGGCAAACGTAAAATTATTGATGGAAGGATGAATGGAACAATGTACATAGACGTTCTTGATAAAAATCTGCTGCCTCCAGGAAGATGAAGATGAAACATGGGCGGACATTTCAGCAAGACAATGACCCAAAACAGCCAAACAAACTCTCGGTTGATTTCAGAGAAAGAAAATAAAGCCCTAAATGGCCCAGCCAACCACCTGACTTGAATCCAGTAGAAAATCTATTGAAAGAGTTAAAGATTAGAGTTAAGAATTCCATGAAACCTTCAAGATTTGAAGGCTTTGTAGGGAAGAATGGGCCAAAATCACACCTGAGCAATGCATGCAACTAATTTCTCCTTTCAAGAGGAATCTTGATGCTGTCAATGCCAGCAAAGGCCTTTTTTAAAAGTATTTTTAAAAATTTCAGTAAGTGTGTTTAATACTTATTCACTAAGCCATTTAACTTTAATACACATAACTTAATTTTTGGATGTCTATGATTGGATTTTGGATTGCATGAATCTTTACCAACATCTAGTGAAAATGTCATGTCAATAGCACCTCTAGAGGTACCGGTATATTTACTGAGAAAAATGGTGATGTGTTCAATACTTATTTCACCCGCTTATATAATATAGCATCAGCATTGCA